GTTGCTTTGAAACCTGGGTGCCCCTAGGGAGAAGCTTTGAAAAAAAATTTTTCAAAGTAACTCCATATGTTGTAAAGCAGACCCTTAGATGCGTAGAATTTGAAATTCTATTTTTTTTACAAACCGAAGTCAGACCTGAAATGCTTCGAAAATTTCAGGAGATGCTTTGAATATTTTCCTGTGCCACATACAAGGATTTGGCTCTTGTCTCAAGCGCCTCAGCGAACCCTTCAGCAGCTGAGGGCACAACGAACTAGCTTCCTGCAGAACTCAGGTGGGTACACCTGGGCAAGCCTAGAAACTCGAACTCCATGTTGGCTGCCGCGAATTTTCAAGTGCTCCTCAGGAGCACAGGTGCACTTGCAGAGAGACAATTCCCTGGCCACACAATCTGCATTGCTGAAAATTCTGGTCTTCTTCTTCAGCTTTCTTTGTCCGTCTGGACTCAGGAGGCCAACAGAGCATTGGTCAAACGAAAATAGAGCCATTTTCATGCTCACCTTGTCCAAACATGTTCGAAACTTCTCAAGCTGCCAAGATGAGGCTGAGCATGGGTGCTCCAAAGCGAAGCTCAGTTTGGCTTCATGCAAATGCATACACAGGTCGAGGGCATACTCAAACATGATCACGGCCTCTGACATCCTCTGCTGATAGACGTCTGGGTCCATCTTGCTAGCATTCCAAAGCCTCAGCTCGCAATGAAAGACACATGGTAATTCCTGGCTCTGCGCATAAAGCCACTCATTGTGTTCACAGAGGATGCGCTAAGATTCAACTGAAGACAGGATACCTCATCAAATCACTGAACATTGTACATGGCGGGGACAATATGGTCAATCGGGGTCGTGTAGCCAGGATGAAATTCAGCAGGGAAGAGCGGTCCCCAGCTTTCAATGCATCCCACCCATTGTAGACAATGTCGAAAGCAAAATCCGCAGTGTACCCCATATCCTGTGCCATTTTCGTGACGCGCGGTTGGGAAAACACTTCAAGCACGAGCTGCTTCACAGCTGGGATCTCCGGGCATCGAAAGACTAGTGCCGGCGGCTGCTCTGCAGCTGATTTCGACCTTCTTCTCCTGCGCTTGCCTTGCCCGGAGCCTGACCTGTCAGCGACTGAGAAGTCACCCCAGACGTCATCATCATCATCATCATCGCCAGGAGGCAACTCAGGCCAGTTGCCTGCGTCATCCTCGTCAGCCACAGGCGCCAGAACCATGACAGTTTCATACCCCCTGTCTGGCGAAGGAAGATCCTCGAATTCGTCATGACAATTATTAAATAGCAACGCAAGCTTCGTCTTGCTAGCCCACTCAAACACTTCAGGCCCAGCCACATCCTCTGGCATCTCTGGCATGGGATCAGGACTTGCAGGGAGAAGCATACCACCCTCCTCTGATTGCTCATTTGGTCACTGGAAGCATGGTCTCATCTGCTGCACTTGAAGCTAGCTTTGCCGACAATTCTCCTCTGACAAATCAAAATCATTCAGTCCCGGATCTATCATCATCATGAAGTCCTCGGCACATCTGAAGAACAGGCAATAGACGACGTGACAGTCAGCATGATAATCTTTCAGTCTGTCTGGCCTCAAAAGCAGCCCCACTGTCATCACTGCCAGGCGGTAATCCCCATGATTCATCCTCAAGTTCAAGATGTCCAATGTTGAAGACATGGGATGGCACTGCGTAGTCAATGTACTATTATCGACATTAAGTCCCGGACATCCGTTGCCATGATGTCGTGGCTGAGACAGGCTCCTTGACAAAGTAAGAAATCATAATAATGTC